TCTCTCTCTCTCTCTCTCTCTCTCTCTCTCTCTCTCTCTCTCTCTCTGACACAAATGAGCACCTGCAGGCTCACTTGGATAAGCGCGCACACACAAGCGGGCTGTCTGTCTTGTCAGCAGCTGGCTCCTGGGGTCTGCCCTTCTGCTGCTGTTTTTGTCTACTCCTTCATTTAATATTGGAGTGTGTGTGTGTTAAATAATGTGTTGGTCTGTGTAGCACCATGTCTGTCTAGGAGTGAGCTAGAAAGCACAACTTTTTTCCCTCACTCTTCTTTCTAGGAGTTTTTCTCGTTACTAATTAAAGTGGACTTCATGGCCTCCAGGCTTCCGTATTCTTCATTGCTTCTTCCTCGTTCTCTTCAGGCTATGAGAAGTACAACTCGATGCGAGCTGACCCCGCCCTGTGTTTCTTGGAGAGGGTGGGCATGCCAGACGCCAAGGCCATCGCCGCTGAGCAGAGGAGCTCCGACATGATGGCAGATGGTGTCGAGGGGTAAGAGAGCGAGCTTCTCTGCTTCCCCCTCCCCCTTTTCATTCTCTACTTTCTACTCATATATTAGCTTCAAATAGTCTGACACAATGACTGATTGATTTAAAGCATGTAGTCCAGGGTCTCCGATAGATGTGACTGGAAACGGGTGTAGGGCCACATGTCTTTGTACGTGGTGTCTTTTTTTTTTTTTTTTAGTTTAAACTGCTGCCAACTTAAATTAAGTTGTCTTTACATAAAATCCCTCGAGTTAAACTTGAAGCATACTTTGTTCAGTGTCTTATTGTTTTGCCTTATCTCCTTCTTTTAAACATCTCCGTGTTTCTGCTTCCTCAAATATTAAAAATGATCAGTGAAATTAAAATCATGAATTCTTTGGCCCCCCCTAACCTCTACAGTGAGGAGGAGGATCCAGAGTACAAGCCACTGCGGATGCCTTTCAGAGACGATATGGACGACTTCACCAACTCTCCACTGGACGACAAAGACGACAACGTGGAAGGTGAAGCTGAAGGTAAACTTTGAATTCAAGCACGAGAACCTGCACAATCTCACAACCCGCTTTTAAATCCTTTCACAATAACAAAAAAACACCTGATGATGAGGTTCCTTACATCTCTCCTCTCATGTAGCCAAATCAGGTGAGAACGGTCAAGGAGTGGGCGGAGCCTCGAGCGCCAACGAGCGGCTCTACTGGCCGGCGGCCTCAGCTCTCACTGCACGGCTGCGTCGCCTCATCACGGCCTACCAGCGCTCTAACCGCAGGGAGCAGCAACGCCAGGAGGCCCTCAGCCGGCCTGACGGCCGCCGCCGGCGACGCAGGGACTTCCTGCCCGCCATCGGCATGGTTACCGACGCGGGGGTAGGAGGGGCAACTTACATCCAAGATGCAGCGGCGGTGTTCCTGACGGACGGAAGCCCGTATCTGACTAAAGGAGGTGCCTACTTTGCCAAAGGCGGTCAGTTCTTGCCGGAGGCGTCGCCGGTGATGACCACCAGCTCGCTGATGACGGACGGAGCCATGTACTACAAGGAGAGACGACAACGGTAGTTATTAGACATGACCGACTGCATTGCACCCAATGTTATTCTTTGTAGTTTAACATTTACTCACACATTGGTTTTGTTTCTCTGTCAGATGGACTCGTCGCGAGGAGGCCGATTTCTATCGCGTGGTGTCGACCTTTGGAGTCGTCTTTGACACCCAGCGTCAGAAATTTGACTGGGCGCAGTTCAGGGCCTTCGCTCGACTGGACAAGAAAACGGACGAGAGCCTTGAGAAATACTACTACTCATTCATCGCCATGTGTAAGCGGGTCTGCAGGATGCAGGTCAAGACTGAAACAGGTAAGAGGAAATGTTACTGCGTTCTGTATTGTCACTAAAATAACTTTCAGGTCAAAGAAAGTTTATTTGGAGAAAAAAATAGTTCAATATGAGATTTTGTTTTAATGAAGGACTGTCTGTCTTTTACCTCATCAGAACTCCCAGACCCGACCCTGATCATCGACCCCATCACAGAGGAGCGTGCCTCCCGCACCCTGTACCGCATCGAGCTGCTCCGGCGCATCCGGGAGCAGGTCCTCCCCCACCCGCTGCTCTCGGAGCGCCTCAAGCTCTGCCAGCCCTCCCAGGACCTGCCCGAGTGGTGGGAGAGCAGCCGCCACGACCGGGACCTGCTCCTAGGGGCCTCCAAGCACGGTGTGAGCCGAACAGACTACCACATCTTTAACGACCCCGCCTTGGCCTTTTTGGACGCCCACCAGCGCTTCACCGGCCAGCGGGGGGCTCGCAGCGGTGCAACGGTCCAGGGTGAGATCACCAAAGCAGGAATGGGAGCGGCGGAGACCAACCCTGCGCCCCTCCTCACCTCCGCGGAGATGGTGAGCGCGGCAGCGGCTGCCAAAGTTGCTGTTGCAGCCAAAGAAGAGGAGGGCGAAGGAAAGGAGGTGAAAATGGAAACTGAGCAAGGAGATGTCGATGACATCCCGTGTATCAAGACTGAAACTGTTGATGAGCAAAAGGGAAATGAGGGAGAGGTCGGAGTGGGGAAAGAGGAAAGCACTGCTTCGCCGAGGATCGAGGTGAAGGAAGAGGACGAGGCCCAGCCAAAAGTGGAAAAAGAGGACCAGGAAGAGCAGAAAGAGGAGCAGAGAAGAGAAGGAGAGACAACTTCCAAGCCGGCAGACGACCAAGACAAAGACTTGACCGAAGAGGAGAAGAGCTCGACTGCCGCCGACTCTCTCAGGGACCAGACGGAGACGACGACCGAGCTCTCGGAGCATCCCTCCTCTCCCAAAGATCAACCCACCCACAAGGCTGCAGAGGAGAGGGAGAACCCAGAGTCTCCTAAATCCCCAAAGTCAGCCAACACCGAGAAAAGCCCGGAGGAAGAAGAGGAGGAGGAGGAGGAGGAGGAGGAGGAGGAAGAGGAGGAGAGGATGGATGAAGATGACAAATCAGAGAAATCCTCTCAGGCTGAAGGTAAGGGGGATGTTTATTGACATTAGCTTGGAGGAAGTCAGTCGTTGATCTCAGTGGAACTTTAGTTTACCAGAGATGATGATGTGAAGTTGTAAATGTGTTCTCTTGTGTATTGTTCACCAGTTTATTTTCCGTTTGTCGATCCTCATCATTGCTGACACCACACTAAGTCACAGGCTTATATCTGGTGATTTAATAAGTTCCAGAGGCGAGAGAATCAAAACCAATGTGTATTCCTTGGTAACCATTCGTGAAAAGCCTTGTTAATTAAGAGCGGCGACGTGACTCTCCCTCCCCCCCACACAGCGAGCGCTGCGTCCGAGCAGAAGAACTTTGACGAGGAGAGCATCGCGTCGCTGAGCACGTCGGCCCAAAACGAAACCAGAGACGGGTTCTGCCCCGACGACCTACCGGAGACCTCTGCGCTGCAGGCCTTACAGGACCGCGCCTACTCCTTCTCATTCTGGCCCAAGGTGAGTCTCCAATGGTTAACAATAACAGCCGGGAATGATGAGTTAGTTATTTTAGGAGAAAATGCCGAAAGTCCACGGGTTCCAAGTGGGAATATTTTTAAGTGGAATTACGTTTTGCTGAGCTTTTAAGTTTCAACTGTTGTAGTGGTGCTGCAGAATAGTCCATCATCCCCTCTCCCCCCCATAGGATCGGGTGATGATCAACAGGATGGATAACATCTGCGATGCCGTCCTGAAGGGCAAGTGGCCCGTAAACAGGCGCCACATCTTCGACTTCCCCAGCAACCTGTTGCCGGGGCACTGCTCCGCCGTCGCCACAGCCGCCGTCGCCACGGTGACCGAGAGCCCGCTGCAGAGACGGAGCCTCACCGAGCTGACGATGGCCGGCATCCACACAGCTTACAGTGGGAGTGAGGACAAAACACTATCACCACAGGTTCATGTGAGTGCTTGTGCAGATATTTATTTCTTTTATACATTAACAAAATAAAACGATTTTAATTTAACCAGAAGTTAGATTATTATTCTATCATTATTCTAACCCTGGAATCAGCCTCAAGTTACTGCTGCTGAAGTCCCAGTAACAACAAATAAGACAAGCCCCTAGACAAGAGGTGTAACTGTTAACCTGACGTTGCAGGAGGACGCTTTGAGCCTGACGGCGCCTCGCCAGAGGAGGAGGAGAAGGAGGAAGATCGAGATCGAGGCAGAGAGGGCGGCCAAGAGACGCAACCTGATGGACATGGTGGCTCAGCTGAGAGAGAGCCACTCTGCCGCAGAGTCCCAGAGCCAGGCGATAGACCTCACCAAGGTGACTGCTCGAAGCTCCTCAAGGCCTTTACACATGGCGGGGGGGGGTAGTCAGAACTTGACCTACTATGCAGCAAAACGGTTACTTTCAGTCGGAGGTTGATTTTTCTGAGCTGTCACATCACAAATAAAAGCATCAACCAAACACATTGTGCGGATCGGGTGGAGTTTATAAAACAAAGTGGCGGCTCCGTAGTGTGAACACCGCAAACTTTATTACTCCTTTCAACCGTGGCAAAGGCAGCGCAGACCAGATCCACTCCTTCCGTTCTTACCTTTCACAATAAAAGCCCTAGATGTAAATAGCCACATGTATTTCACGTGTGGTTTATTCATCATGCCCCCACTGTTTAAAGGCCTTTAGTATGATTGTTAATTTAGAAACTATTGCCAAACTTGAAAAAACTAAAAGTTATAGGATTAAAAAAAATAAGAAGAAGAATTAAACCAGTTTTATGAACTAACTGTTTTGTCGTTCAGAGCATGCACCATCACCACAAGGCCTCTCCCTCATTGGCCGGCTTCCCCAATGCCCTGGTGACGAGCCCCTCCCTCAAGGCCCAGATGGAGTTGCTGCAGCAAGCCCCGCCCTCCGGACACAGAGCCAATGGTTCGCTGGAGGCCGACCTGCCAATCATGAGGAGGAGGCGGGGCCGCAGGAAAAATGTGGAAGGCCTGGAGCTGCTGTTCATGGGCAACAAGAGAGCAGGAGGGGTATGACAATATAGACTCTATAGACAACAGACGTCACCTTTGGACCAACACAACACAGTATGAGTGTCTACTTTTAATTCATCTTTCCCTTCTCCGTGTCCCTTTTGGACCTTCAGGATGACGCCGACGGGACAAAGGTCTCAGGTGTGGAGGGGGTTCAGGAGTCTGCCCGGGCCCCCAGACCCCTCATCGTCCCAGAGCAGAGCCCCAGTGCCAGGTCTCTGGCCTCCGGCAGTCTGGAGGAGGAAGAGACGGCGGTTTCCAACAAAGAGCTGGGAGAGTGGCTGAGGCAGCACCCGACCTACACCATGGACATGGCTGGATTCACACCAGTACGCCTTCCTCTTTTTATAATGTCTTTAACTCCTTTGTTAGTGTGAGCCTAAGCAGGATCAGATCTTAATGAAATTTCCCCTCCTGTTTATTCTCGCGTTAGTCTTCTCTCTAAGCCACGAGTTATTCACACCCACCTCTGTATGTTCCCTTCCTACGACAGAAGAGCGAGGATTTACTGCTGTCTCAGTTCTCCAAGCCCAAGCAGAAGCGCCACCGCTGTCGGAACCCCAACAAGATCGACATCAACACCCTGACTGGAGATGAGAGAGTGCCTGTGGTCAACCGACGCAACGGACGCAAGGTAAGCCCATCAGGATTCTCCACAGTATATCCACTACAGTGCAGTAGTGGATATGTCTCTTTTTTACTGGTACTGATTTTATCAAGACAAACTCATTTTCATCTTCTTGCTCCTCAGATGGGCGGGGCCATGGCTCCACCAATGAAGGAGCTTCCCAGATGGTTGCTGGAGAACCCGGAGTATTCTATTGCCCCTGATTGGACAGACATCGTCAAACAGTCGGTTAGTAGCAAAGAGAACACCTGTGATCCGTTCCATTCATTGTAAGGATGTCACCGTGTGCTAGCTTGTGTACTGATGCAGCTTGTGGCACCATTGTTTCCTTTCTACTTCCTACTCCTCCACCACACAGGGTTTCCTCCCGGAAGCCATGTTTGACCGTCTATTGACCGGCCCTGTCGTCAGGGAGGAGGGCGTCCGTCGCCGGGGGCGACGACCGAAATCTGAGATCGCCAAGGCAACCGCCGCCGCCCAGGCCGCAGCTGCAGCCCAGGCGTCACTGGCCTCTGTTGCTTCATCTGCAGGTACAAACTACTGCTAAAGCAACTTTGTTCATCTCACTCACACACACACACACACACGTATGTTGAGGAAAGATAATCACCTTCTGACATTGTGTACCATTATTTTTTTAAGCCCTCCACTGTCAAATCAAGTCTACGTCAGAGAATTTAACCTCATAGCCGATATTGTTTGTACTGAAAGATGGAGCTTCATTTTAACTAGTGTGCGTGTGTGTGTGCCCAGGCGGAATCAACCCTCTGCTGTTAAACAGTCTGTTTGGAGGGATGGACCTGTCGTCCCTGCAGAGCCTCCAGTCTCTCCAGTTGGCCGCCGGTCTGATGGCGTTTCCTCACCCCTCCGACCCCAAGCAGGCCGCGGCCAGCGCCGCAGCCGTCTCCATGCTGCCACTCATGCTGCCCGGTATGGGAGGCCTGCCCAACATGGCCGCTGCCCTCCCCAACATGTTCAGCCTAGGTGGTCTGTTCGGCGGCAACCTGGCGGCAGCCGCCGCCGCGTCGCACTCCATCGCCGCCACATCACGGAACACCAACGGAACAACGGAGGGCGAAGGAGCAGATGGCGACGAGACGGTGACGTCGAAGAGGAAGAGGGATGGAGAAGGAGAAGACTTTGAAGAAGGGGCAGACGAGGATGAGGAGGAGGAGGCTGAGGGTAATGAAGAAGGAGTGAAGAAGGCGAGGAAGAAGGAGAAAAGAAGGGCAGAGAAATCGGTCAGCGCAGCCACCGGAGCTCCTGGGATCCCAGCTGCCGATTCGTCGGCCGAGGCGTGCATCAACGGCGATGCCACGGCGCTGCTGGCCGCAGCCGGCATGTCGGCCAGCTCCCTGGCGTTCAACCCCTTCCTCCTCTCCACCATGGCCCCCAGCCTCCTCTACCCCTCCATGTTCCTACCTCCCGGCCTCGGGGGGCTCAGCCTGCCCGGCTTCCCCACCGCCTCCACTCTGGCCGAGCTGCAGAGCGCCATGGCCGGAATGCTGGGGGGCAACGCCGTGACCACGAACCCCATGAGAGACGAGGAGGAAGAGAAGGCGGGGCTGAAAGCTTCGGGAGAGGAGGAGGAAGAGGAGGAGGAGGAGGAGGTGGTGGAGGGAGGAGGTAAGAGTGACTTGGCTGAGGAGGAGGATGGAGCGGAGGAGGAGACAAGAGGAGACGATTCAGCCCTGGAGGACGGAGGGCTGGAAGAGGAGGAGGAGGAGGAGGCGTCTCCACAGAAGGACAAGAGTGACTGAAATAAAAACACAAAACTGACTGGCCTTTACATTTCCTCTCCTCCCCCTCGCCACGTTTACACGCCTCCACCAGAAATACCCAAACTATTACCAATCCTGTTTTTTTTGTTTTTTCCTTCTTTTACATTGTCGTTGATTTCTCACTATTTGTTGTTACTTTTTTCCCAGCAGGTATATTTACTACGCGTCAGAGAGAACGAGGTGTGTGTGTGTGTGTGTGTGTGTTAACTTAAATCTCTCTGATCGATAGTGTAGTCAGGGAAAAGTCCTCTGAGCTCCTCCTGTGTGCACTGTGAACGGTGCAACCCCGCCCTCCTCTCCCACGATCCTTCAGATAGGACTCCACAAAGTTCCAGTAGTGCATTTATTATTATTATTATTATTATTATTATTATTGCTGCTTTCAGCTCTCAAATCTTTATTTTTGCTTCCCTCGTCTGGACTGTTTTGTTGTTGGCAGCATTCTTTCTAACATCAGTTCTCAAAACAGCCCCGGCTGTCTGTCTGACAAAGCTGCTGCAAAAGGAATTATGGGTAATGGAGTTGAGTTGAGCTGTTGTTTCAGAGCAGACTGTTTTTTTCATTTTTTTTTTCTAGTTCTCACATATCAGACCAGGTAGACTCTGAGGAGGAGAAGCGGACTGGACTAGAACTCAGTGTCACGCACGCACGCACACACACACACACACACACACACACACACACTGACGACCACAGCATACTTGATCATTAGCTGCACACACTCGCACATTCAAATGTCCATCACTACACACACACACACACACACACACACACACACACACACACACACACACACACACACACTAACCCCCGAAAGCCCTCTCTGTCATGTGACTGTTTAGTGGGAGGACTGGTCCCCCACAGCTGTTTTCCTTTGAGCGTGTGGATGCACACTGAACCAATACTGTTAAACCAGTCCCACACTGTTTGAATGCCAGTCTTTGAGTCTTTCCACTGCCACGTCTGAATCCTGTGTCTCTCTCTTCGAGGCGGCTGGTTTGGTGCTCAGGAGGGGGCAGGCGGGCTGGGTCTGCCCCCGATTGGGCCTTTCCATCGGTCCCCGTTTGGAGTTCTTTTTTTTTCTGTGAATGGATTTGTAGCGGTGATCCACACAGGGATGTGATGTTTCAGGTTTATTCTTTAAAGCAGGTGAGGGGGGGTACATGCAATGTTTGATTTTTGTTTGGAGGTTTTTTTTCCCGGTCGCTGCCACATTAAGAATCCTTTGTTGTTATTATCTTTTTCTTTTTCTTCATGTCCCGGTAGTTCCAGACCAAGTGCTGCTCCCTAGTGACCTTCTCTTAAGACTGTTTCTCTAGTCACACACACTGACACCAGGCCTGGCCAGAACACCACTGAGACACACTTTTCACCCGAGTTGGAAATTCACAAAGTTTCCACATGAAGACCAACTCAAGTTTTAAACGCTTGAGAAGCACAGGCGGCGCCCCATTCGTTTCTGCTTTTTTCCCCCCGAGGCCAGTTCAAGTGTCCGAGGCGAATCGAGCGCCGCGAGTGGTTCAAATATTATAAAGTCCATTCAAATACACACACACACTGTGGCCAGGTCATGTTAACATTTGCTATCACAGCCAGCCCAGCAGATGCAGAGAGAGGGAGAGAGAAAAAAGAGGGATGGAGGGGGAGAGATGAGTTTTTTTGCTGTCTGGAAGACTCCTTCCCCTTCAAGTTCCTCGTTCTCTCATCTAATGCTGAGACAGCAATAACCAAGGCAGCTTTTGAATGTTCCAACATCTCTCCCAACACACACACACACACACACACACACACACTATATGAATAACCACAAGTGTCGTATGAATAGAAAAAAACTAAACAAAAAACTGTAAATGAAGACAAATAAGTACTGCAATCAATTTTGTCTCACTCTGTTCCTGTTGATGCACTGGTGTTAAAGAGTTAAAATAATCAGGTACCTTTATTACTTAGCTACTTTTTCTTGAAAAACAATGGACTTTTTGTTACTTTTAGCCAGCAAGCTGAAGAGCATTACCTCAAAATTCTTATCTAGCCTTGAAGTTTACAGACATACCATGTAAATGTTTTTTTTTTCTTCTTTTTTTGATGTTTGTCTTTTTGTTTTTTGTTTTTTGGAGACATCATGTATGATGAATTGTAGCTATGATGCTTTTAATAAAAGTGAATCATGATACTCGCCTAGGAAACCAAACCTCTGCTTTGCATTTTATTTGTTTCAGCCCTCTACTTTGATTCCAGTTCTTGTTTCCACCATGAGGTCGGACTCAAGTGAAACCAGCTTTGGTGCTGGTCTACTGTGTGTACTTATGGTCCCACTGGACATGCAGGTTTGTTGGAGGAAGGTACTGAATATCAATATACCTTATTTCACTCATTAATACTTAAGATGGTTATAAGTTTTAAAAAAAAGCCTGACTACCAGGAAAATAATCTAAATTTAAGGTCCAGTTTAAAACAACTGAATAAATGTGGCTTTTGAAGAAGCAGTTAAAGAGACAGTTCACCACGAAATCAAAAATGCACACACACCTGTAGTGCTAATTAATAATTTAGATTGTTTGTGTTGGAGATATCAGCCGTAGAGAAGTTTGCCTTTTCCTCTAATATAGTAGGACTGGATGGTACTCGGCTCAGAGCGCCAAAAAAAACAATACTCCAATACTCCAGAGCAACGTCTCTTTCCAGAAATCATGACCCGGTTACTCAAAATAATCCAGAGTTTTTTGTGAACTGTCCCTTTAAATCTCTGGAAAACGCTCGTGGACCTTGAGAGTAAGGAAGTTATGTTTACGTTCAGTTTTTTACTGAAATGTGTAGTGTGTATGTATCATTCATCACACTATATTACCTGCATTTACTTCCTCAAACATTGGCTAAGACGCTTTTTGGAAGAATTTGCAACCTACATTTTACATCCACTTTGTTTTGTACTGCTCTCTCTTTCCTTTGTTGAATGTTGGAGGAACCATTGGTAGGACTGTATATCACCTCGACTCTTGTAGACTAACTGACTGGGCTTGATTCTGCCACACACTGCCAAACTTCTACACTTATCTATCATATATGACAGAAAATTTGCAAATCCTCATATTGTAGGAGCTGAAATCAGAAAGTGTTTGGCATTTTTTTGGAAGGATATGTTTTATGTATCCGTTTCCACACACACAAACACGCATAAATAACAGGCAAAGAAAGAGCAAGTGCGAGACCGACGTTCGAGTCCCGTGCTAAACAAAACTATTTGTCAAGTGACTCGTCCGTCATTCGGTTAGTCAAGTTAATGTCAACCATGCTATTTTTCTCTAAATCTAACCAGGTGGATTTGTTGTCGCCACTTCCTGTGAAGACGGAAGTTTATTTTGAAAAGACACAATGTAACGAGGATAAACTGACTCAAAACTGTAAACCTAGAGAGTCAAAGGCCAAATCCCAATGTTCCCCCTAAACCCTCAAACCCTGAACCCTCAAGGACTTGCTGACGTCACCTGGTAAGTGGGTGAGTGTGAGAGACTGTGAGGGCTTGAGGTGGTGTAAATAGGAATGGGACAGCACTTTGCTGCAACATATCACGTTACCATGAAAACGACAAGAAATATGATGTATAATTGTGTGTATTTATTTTATACTTTGTCCTCCATGATTTGAACGTCTTCCTGGCTCTTTCCTCACAAGATGAGAGGTCATTTTATTGAATCTATTTACTCGTTTTTGTCAAAACAGCTTCAATGACAAAATCAAATATTTGATGAATGAATAAATAAATAAATATCTTATGATTTCATGTTTATTTTTTGTTCCATCTTTAACCCTTAATGTTTCTGAGTAAATGTATTATGACAGGGTGAACACACGTGAGCTGCCGTCTTTGTTTACCTTTTTTTTTACGTCTCCATGCGTCCACTGGTTACTCGGTGTTTTAGGTCACATTGCAATGATTTGTGGGCAATTCCCTTAGGCTAAGTCAGTATATCATGCTGATTTATGGAAAGGGTTCATAAAGGGCTCAACATTTGACAGTGGGACAGCCCTAAACCCTCACGGACTTCGCGGTAGTGCGCCTCAAAGTCCGTGAGTCCGTAAGGGGGGGACATTGGGATTTGGCCATAGTTTGAACCTTGGGGCCACTGACCAACAGTTTAGTTTTGGAGTTGGGTGTGACAACGTGTTGAAGGATGTTTTATAGATGGTGTAAATACAACTTGTGCTGTATGTTACAGTGGTCTTAAGAGGCCCGTTAGCGGCCCCCAGAGGCCTCTGTGATCATTGCGTATAACAGGAGTAGCCAGAGTGAATAAACCAACTATCTGATCAGATGTCGATGTTTTGTTTATTTAACGGTATGCAATGTGTGTCGGCATTAAAGAGAAAAACAGAGGTGTGTTTGTGTGCGCGTGCGTGAGAGAGAGACATCCGTCAGAAATGGCCTCTCTCCCACTGGAGCTGCTGACAAAACACAAACTGACAGCCAGACCCGTGTGTGTAAGGAAGACCAGAATGGACATGAGATTTGGGCTGTTCTTTTCTTGTGCCACCAGCATGAAACTAAACTGTATGTTGCATTCAAAGACACTGTATATACACATAATGTAGGATATGTTTCTATATACTTTGTAGAAGCTCACAAGCAATCGTCAGACTATATGTAAAACTCTACTCCAAAAAATGTATATGTACAGTAACATCTGTTGAACAGTGCTTTTAGACTGCAACAAAATCAATCCTGATATTGTGGAAAAATAAGTCGCAGATTCACGACATAAAGATTGATGCACTTACTACTCTTCTCACACCAACGATCCAAAAATAGAAGCTCTAAGTCAACATCGACTCCATCTTGGTGTTTGACAAGAGAAACACTTCATGCTTTGGTGCTGGAACCATAGTTTTGTCATTGGTCGGTTCAGGTCATGTGGTCTCCCCTCTCACTTTGCTCCCACCTGGTGCATTGAGCTACATTCTCAATGTCAGCATGCTAACATGCTCACAATGTCAATGCTAACATGCTGTAGTGTTTACCGTGTTCACATCTTAGGTTAGCATATTAGTTTAGCATGCGTACATTTGCTTGTCAGCATAAAACACAAAGTATAGTTGAGGTGAATGTTTAGTTTCGAAGTTGAATTTGGTCAAAAACAAAGTATCCAGTTGGACAAATGTACAGCTCCGTAACTGACAAAATGAGGATATAGGCCAATAAACTGTCAGGCATCAGCAGGACAAATGGGAACACTGTGGGGTCCTGACATTCAGTACGACTAGCGTTATGTGTGCAGCGAGCATTTTGTCCAAATGTCAGTTTTAGTCTAACTATATTTCCGTAAACTAAGTTAATACATTTTGACAATATGATACTTGTGTTATAGCAGAATATGGATAAATCGGAAAGCTATTTAGTATGATGTTTGCAAGTGCCTTAGCTAAAATGTAGCTAATATTAGCTAGCTAACAGCTTACTTGTCCCATCATCATTGTAGTTATCGACTGCACCCGTGGTAGACATAGGGTGCTAAAATAATCCTTTGACGAGCTAAAATCTTATGTTTTTAGCTAGCTAGAGGCCTTAAGTTAGCGTTTCAGCCCTTCATGGCACCATAAGAGCGATAACATAATTTTTAATGAGTAGCTCAGTGGTATTCAATGTAAACTACAGTGAAGAGGCTGCCAATCTCCTCAGTGGTGGTATGCTCCGTTTGCAGGCATATGTCTCAGTATTACATTATTGTGGGTGATGCTACCATAGACTGTAGCCTATATAAGAAGTGGACACAGTCGTCGTGATGTCACCAATTGGTTTGTTGACTGCAGTTCTGAAGCATCATGTTTGGCATTTTGGCCATCGCCATCTTGGATTTTTTATAACCAGTGAACAAAAGTGACCATATTTGGACTGGGGAAGTGTGACGCCATATACGCTAGACACCTGTCAATCACAAGATAGCCCCGCCCTAAAGCATGCCCTGCTTCATGGTCTATTTGACTCTAAATGGACCATCATTTACTAAATGAACATCATGCTGTATTGAAGAAGACTTGAAACTAGAGATTGAGACCATAAACTCATGTTTAAAATGTTTACTGAGGTAATAAATCAAGAGAGAAGTAGAGTCATATTCTCATAGACTTCTATACAACCAGAGGAGTTGCCCCCTGGTGGACACTAGAGAGAATGCAGCTTTAAGACATGAAGCATTGGCTTCACTTTTCAGAACCGGAGGTTGCTGCCTGGATGACACTTAAACTACTGCAGATTTAAAAGACAGACCGGCAGCTTAAACTGAATGGAGGTCCATAGAATGTCCTCACATGAATGGTAATACCAATATGTGTGTGAGTGAGGGTGTGTTTACTCTAGCAGACAGTAGAGAGAGGTGGAGTGTGTGTGTGTGTGTGTGTGTGTGTGTGTGTGTGTGTGTGTGTGTG